TGGCTGTTCAGGCTGTAACACAACCAGGTCGACTGTGTCGGTCACTGCAGGAAACTTGGCACATATAAATCTTAGAAAACCAGGTTTGTCTCTCAGCATTGCCCAATGGGCAAGGTAAATATTTATCCCCAGCCCTGGAAAGATGCCTGGTAATTCTATTCTTTGCTATCACTTTTCCTTGTATTCATTCATCCTGCAAGCATTTGCTGATGGCTAGGGGTGACCCTCCTGTCCTTCCCTCGGGGAGTCCTGGGGGAAGAGGGCGGGGGAGCAGAGGGGAGAGGAGGCACCACAAGAAAGCAGCTTTTCAGCTGGGGCTTGACTGACGCTACCATGTTGCTGTCACCCTCGACTGACCTGGTGATTTCTACACCCAAGCTTCCCTGTCAGAGAGGACTCCCGTAAGTGGGGACTCAGAAGAGGAACTTTTGGGTCAGCAGCCCTCAGTTTAAGGGAAGCAGCAAGAACTGTGCGGGTTCTCTGAGCCTCTTTCCTCCAAAGAGCACCACAGCCTAGTGAGTTGAAGAGAGTGGGCGTAAGTAGCAAACTCTCTGAGTTCAAATCTTGGCTCCGCCACTTGTCATCATGTGTCCTGTGCATTTGATTTCTCTCATCTGAAAATGAGGAAAATATAAATATGCCTCTGAGAAAGTTATTGTACAGATGGAACACAAATAACTTCACCTGAGTAAATAGTAGCTGGCATTGCGATCCCCGCGGTCCAGGAGAGGCTGTCACAGGGAGTTCATGTTCTAAAGATCACTGTCAGGATCAGTGGGATCATAGGTGTAGAGTACTGTATCTCGGGAAGGGCAGAGCATAAGATAGTAGGTGTGCAAACAGTGATAGCTAAAGTGATCAAGGAGATGGCCCAGTGAAAGGAATTGGTGGACAGAAAGGAGGCTCGGAACCTGGATCCCACCCTTCCTGCACTCCAGCCTGGGAGGTAGATAGGGTGCTCCGACCTCTGAGATCCTGCACAACTGAGTCTCTTGTTGGTTTGTAAATGAAACCTTAGCACCAGGCCTCTCCTCAGGTCTGACTGAGGATGACAGCCACCTTGTCTGAGGTTCCGCTCTGCAAGAGGTGGCTGGGGGGAGGGAGCAGCGGGCCTGCAGGAAAGGAGTCTCCAGCACAGCAGCCAGGCTGGGGCCAGGCAGAGACGGAGAGGGGGCCATGAAAGACTTCCCTGGCAAATGGTGGGGAGGGAATCCACAGACAGCAGGGCCTGCCTCAGTCCCTGTCACGTCCTGAGGCGACCCCAACTGCCTCCCCACAGGAGCCCAACGCTACTCTCAGGAGGGAGAAGCCCGAGGGCCAGGCTGTGTGACCTGGCAGTTCCTGAATGGGGGGGCAGGGGGTGGGGGGCGAGCGTGGGGAGGCGGAGAAAGCCGCAGCGGTGGCCTCTGTCAGTCGTCCCTTCTCCCGCTCACCCTTCTCTCTCCATCTGCGTGTCCTCAGGTAGGTGGGCTAGAGGTAGATCATTGAACTTTGAATAAAAATTCCTAGGGCCACCAGTTAAGTCTAAATGTCAGATAAACAACAGGTGATGTTTTAGGATAAGTATGTCCCGTGCAGTCTGGGGATACAGAAACAATCTTTGGTTGTTTATCTGAAACCCAAAGGAAACTGGGTCTCCTGTATTTTATCAAGATGGGGGCTGTGCAGGCCTTGTGCCTGGGAAGCCTGCTACAAATCCAAGTGGGGCAGGCTTGTCGACAGAGTGCAAGGGACAGAGCCAGGAACAGAGATCGGGACACAGAAGGCGCACTTGGTGGCCCTGCGGCTCCTTGGGAAGGAGAGCAGAAAGGGTGATAGGAAAGTGGCCTCCACTGGACAAGTCCCCAAGCCAGAAAGCAGGAGGGACCTGGGGACAAGGAGGCTTCTCTTCTTTTGGAGCCCAACTCCAGCCCTGGCCCCAGCCCATGCAAGAACTGCACAGCACCCCAGAGCTCAGCCGGGTCCTGTTCCTCCTGATTGAACTCCAGACAGTAGGCGGAGGAGCCTGCTCCAGTGGACACATCCATGTGTGGCTGGGACAGTGCTGGAGGACGTTCCTGATGTCTGAAAGGTAGCCCCACAAGGGGTCTTGTGGTTTCTCAGAGAAGGCTGCTGCTTGCCATGGAGATGAGTCCTGTCACTCCCCAGAGCCCCGGCTCCACCCAGCGGCCCGTCTGTAGGCCCTGCTATCCATCAGCACTCTAATTAAAGCAATTGTAATAACAACTACAAAATATTGACTCCTTTCTCTTGCCTAGGTCACTTGCCCAAGTAGTTTTGATTGTTTGTTTGTTTTGTTCATTTGTTTTAGGTTTTTGGTTTTTGGGGTCAGGGTCTTTAGTGACTTTTCTCTCATTGCCGGACAAAATACCAGACAGCCAAAGTTAAAGGGGAAAGAGTTTATTTAGCTCACGGTTTGTAGAGGTTTCAGTCCATAATCGGCTGGCTCCAAGGCAGAGTGGCACATGGCAAAGGGACGCTGCAGAGGAGAAATAGTTCATGCTGCCTTCATGGAAGCAAAAGCAACAAGGGAATCTTAACAGCGTCTTTCTGCCCCCTTTATTTTATCCAGACTATGGGGATTAGGGCTGTGCCAAACCAATCAGTGGACTGGTTTAGTAATCGCACACCCTTGATCCCAGATCACACACTCTAGGCTCATAGAGTCATAGCCACCTATGACAGCATGAGGCTTTGGGGGAACATCTAGACCCAAGCCGTAATAGTCTACCTCATTATGTAGTCCAGGCTGATCTCCTGCCTCAGCCTCCCAAGTGCTGGGATTACAGGTGTGTGCCACCACACTTGGCATCATGTCTTTACAGTGACCGCAGTCAGTGAATGCTGTCATCTCCCCCACTTTACAGATGAGGGAACTGAGGCTCAGGGGAACTGAATTATCAAAGGCCTCTACTGGGCAGTGCATGGGTTCAACCCCAGGCCGTGTGACTCTGAAGCCTGTGTTCCAGGGTGCCTGCACCCCTGCCTCTGTCTCAGACCCAATACTCCCGTGCTGCTGTGTCTGCTCTATGGTCAGGAGTCTTGGAGAAAGGGCCTAGACGGGACTTTTTCTTCCTAAATCATTACTCTCTAGCACAGAGGAAATAGCAGTGCTTCTTGAAAGAGTAAACCTTGAAAATAAACTTGTTCTAAGATGCACCCAGAATCCCTTCCCTGTGTCCCCGCTCCCTGTCCCTTCAGGCCTGGCAGCAGCCAGCACTCAGGGCAACCTGAAGGGCCTCCTGTGTGTGTAATCGCAGTGGAAGGAACTGGCGGTGACTGGTCTGTCTTTCTGCCTCCTCCAGAGGAAGCCCCACCCTGGCCTGCATGGGCCCTGGGACATCCTCCTGGCCCCAGAGGGCATGCCTTTGTCTCCCATGCAGATAAACAAGCAGCCATGGGACACTAGGACATGTGCAATGGGAGGTGAATAGACTCAGTGAGGTGGCAGGGCCAAGGCCTTGTGTACATGGATAAACCAAGGCCAGAGCAGGGAGCCGTGCTTTCGTGTCCACTTCCTCGTCCCTTCCCACCAAGGTGGAAGCCCAGCACCATTCCCAAAGGGTCTCTGGACAGCCATCGCCTGAAGTTTGTGACACAGCAGCTTATACAGGCCGCGTGCGCACGCACACGAACACCTCCACGCCCTGACTCGGGGCCCTCTGGACCCTTCCACCCTTCCTCTCCCCTCCCACACACGCAGTCAGATCAGAGCCACAGGAAGCAGGCCCAGCAAGTGTGCAAAGTGAGAGCCAAGATGCGGAAGTTTAGCTTCCAAGAGTTGTCTAAACACATCGAGAATATTTTTAGCCCCTGACTCCTGCTCGGATGCTAAATTTAAACAGGGGGCCAGAGAGGTGCCCCGTTGGGGATAGAAAGCAGCGAGTGGAGACCAGGGGGGACAGGGCCCCTGCCACAGAATCCACTTCCCTGCATGACTCAGTCGGAGGAGAAAGGTGGCCATGGGCACCAAGGAAGGATGTGCAGAGCGACCCCAGGCTCTGACAGGTCCCCTGAGCCTTCTCGTGCCTCCATTTCCCCACTCGTGCTGTAGGGGAAATTATACCCCTTCAGTAGGATTGTAAGGCACATGCCGGGCACATAGTAGGCATTCAACCATATGCTTCACATTCTGGGTCAAGAGCCTACCAGAAAAGGGCCCTGTGGCTTCCCAGAGCTGGCAGCTGCAGTGAAGTGTGTGTGTGTGTGTGTGTGTGTGTGTACACACCCAACACTAAGGGGCGAATGAAAGTTTGTGACTAAGGGGGCACTGGCAGCCCTGTACCCATGGAGAAGTGGCTCAGGAGACAAACAGACTCAGACCACGCTGGGCACAAGGAGCTTAGAGCCACCTTCTCCAGAGCGGGGGGCCTCTGGGGCCCTCACAGAGGGAGTGCATTTACTCAGAGGCAAAAGCTCTTCAGGAGTCCATGCTGCCACGAAGCAGTGCTCACCAACCTCGGCCTCCATGGAGTCGGGCCGAACCCAGGGAACACACTGCCCGCTCCTGGGGTGGCTGGCCAGGTGACCTTGCTGGGAGTCATGCCCTGGCAGCGCCTGCTCTGCCTCCAGGCCACAGGGAGGGCAGGCAGGACGTGGGGAGGTGGCCTGGGCTGTGGACATGCTGTGCCCATTCTGGCTCTGCTGGCCAGGATTATTAGGAGAGGGGGATGGGCAGGTGTGGGGGTGTGGCATGAGCCTTCCCCCCTGTGGGAGAAGCTGGGGCTTCTGTCTTGTGAAGACCGAGGTTTCCTGGTTCTGAGGCCATGTTATTCGCTGATTGCCGCCTTCTGCCAGGGACCCGGGTGGATATGCAGATGGAAGTGGGAGGCGAAGTTCTGACCTCAGAGTGCTGAGAGGGGAGCAGGCAGCCCAATCCAGCCCATCCACCCCGCAGGCTGTGTGGGAACCAGAGGAAAACAGCCTCAGCGCCCATCTGCACACCCCCTGCCGAACAGACAGCCTGGTGTTGCCATGGTGGCAACACCCCCACCCTCAGCTGTGTGGTCACTGGTGGGGGGCGGACTTATTCCTGGTCACAGATGGAAAAGGGAGAGGGGTGGTAGGGAGGGGGAGCAGCCTTTTTCCTTCTCCCTGGGTTTAGTTAGAGGTGGCCAGGGACATGGGGGGGTCAAGGTGGTTGGAGTTTTAGGGGTTACCCCCTCCAACCAGTTCCCTGCCCTAGGCAACAGCCCACAAGGCCTTCTAGGATTTATGCCTTTGGGAGTACGAGGAAGCACACCAAGGCCATGAGGCCAGTTCTTGTCCCTTTCCCCAGGTCTGCATTTCCACAAAATCCAGCCCTGCCTGGATAATGGGGTCTGAGAGTCTGGGGGTCCACAGGGTGTGGGCGGCAGGGCCCGCCCTGGGTCCCTTCCTTCCTTCTCCCCTGGTTTTCTCAGGGACCTTCCCGCCCTCCCCCCACCCTCAGGCCCCAGGAGGGAAACAACACCACTAGAGACACAATGGAGGCGGGGGAGGGGCGGCCCTTCCGGGTAAGTCCCAGTTCCTCTTCCGGCCACACCCCGTGGCTGACCCATCAGCAAATCCTGCTCCCCGACTTGGAATCGGGCAGTAGCCTGGGAACTGTCCCCTCCTCTGTCTCCCTCTCCACAGCCCCTGCTGGACTATGCAGCTGACCACGCCCCCGTCTCTGGTGGCTCCATGTCTTTACAGGGTCCTACAAGAACCGGATAATCTGCGTCCCCCACACCCTCTGCACACAGCTTGGCCGCTCCTCCCTCCTCGCTGTGCCTGCTGTGTCCAGGCCGGCGCCCCCCCTCCAGCCTGAACATACTGTCCCCAGATGGCCTGCTTCCCTGCCTCCCTCCAGTCTTCCGGATGCCCCTTTCCCGGCAACCATGTCAACTCCAACTCCCCCTCCCTGACTTACTTTCTCCATAGCACTGACTGCTTTCTGATGTCACAGACGGACGACATGTCCCTGTGTCCCTTTTACTTATAGTCTGACTCTTCACAGGACTGCACACCCCAGGAGGGAGGCACTTTCCTCTGTTTTTCCCCACCGCCATATCTCCTGTGCCTGGAACATAAACGCTGAAGAAGCGCTTGTGCAAATAAATTCACTCCCGGCTCCCCACCCTGCCTGAACTGGGCTACACACAACCCTGCTCTCAACAGGACAGAGGAGAAAGCACTGGGCCAATGCTGCGGTGGGCTCTGCCCTGGTCCCAGTATGTGGCCTCTATCCAGCTGCTCCTCCTTGGACCTCAGTTTCCCCAGCTGAAGAGACCAGGCTGGAACTCCTCCTACATTCACCATGTGGGCACCCCAAGGGTTGGTGCAAAAGGGGTCGGGTGGAGACAGGGAATTCACACGGGAAGGGACAGGGGACGTGGTAGTGCCTGTTTGGCAGAACTCTCCAGGCCTCAAAGCCCCCACTCTGGCATGCGTCGGGCAATGGTCACAGGGCAGAGGCAGTTGTGGGAAGCTATAAACAGACTTGAGAAAGGTTTCTCAAAAAAATATACCCATATTTTAATCACCCAAAGTCCAACCTGAGAAGCAAAAGGAATGGAAGCCAAGCCTCTGAAGGCTGAGGTCAGAGAGCACTGTCCGGGAATGAGCCATCATCGGAGGAAGCCGGCCACCAGGCAGGTGAGCGTGGGCATCAGCAGGGCAGGCAGGGGTAAAGGCAGCAGCTGTCCCGGGGCCTGGGATGTGTACACCAGGCGGTCTCCCAGATCCTGCAGGGGCCTGACATTGTCTGTCATCCTCATTGACCGTTCCTTGTCATAATACAGCTTCTGGGAGAATGCCAGAATCTGTGGAAGGGACAGGCAGGGACAGGCAGAAGGAGCAGGACACACTCCCTGTCCTGCTGTGTGACCTCAGGCCAGGTGCCTCGACTTTCTGAGCTCCCATCAGGAAAGAAAGGACCAAAACCACTACCACTAATGTTATGAAGATTGAAAAAAATAAGAGCTACGAAGTGTGTGCCATGGGGGAGGGGTTCCATTAAGTTCCCCAACTCACAGGCTCAGGGCCTCCAATGTACTGTTACTGTCCTCACTGTGACTGCAGCACAGTGCTACCAAACTTCAGCGCGCATTAGCATATCGGGAGGCTTGGTGGGCCTCAGATGCCTGGGCCTCATGCCCAGAATACTCGATTCAGTAGGTCTGGGGGGCCTGAGAATCGGCATTCCTAACTGAAGCCACTGGTCACTGATATGGACAGATAAGGCCAAGGTGGGAATGTGGGTCCTTCTGACTCACTGCTTTCTCTCCAGCGGCAAGTGTAGTGGAGGCTTAGTGCCATTTGTGGAATGAACGAACCACTTCCCATGGCTACTAAGCAACTATTGGCCCACCCCAAGCTCTGCCCTCCCCCAGCTCGCATGTCTTCCTAGACAATGGCTTCCTGCCTAACCTGGCCGACTCCCACTGACTCTTTTAGAAGCCTTTTCTGACCATCTTTTCCTCCGTCTCCCACCTAGCCCTCAGTGCAGGAAATAGCCCAGATCTTTCTCATCTGCTCCCCGAGTGGAGGACTGAACCAATGGACTTTAGGGCTCCCCACCCTAGGGGACACCTGGGGCAGACAGAGGCAAGACTTCCGGGGAGCTGGGCAGTGTGAGGCTGCATCTTGCTGGGGCCCTGCTTACCTGGTCTTTGTGGAGCTGAATATGCTCCTTGAACACGGTCCAGACAACTGTCTCATCACAGTTTGGTGTGGTGAGTGAGCCCTGGTAGCGGAAGTAGTGCCTCAGTTTCTCCTTCTTGGGCAGCAGGTCCATTATGCTGCTTGGCTCCATCGTGGTGCTCATATCTGGTGGGGGACAGAGCCTCTCACACACCTCCCTCTGAGAGCAGCTGCCCCACCACCCTGCCCCTTCCTTCCTGGGGAAAGGTAGCCTCCTCCCCTGTCTGGACTCACTGGGTTTGGGGACGAGGTCCAGGGCCTCCACCAGGGGCCAGAAGCCTTCATTGAGCTCATTTCCCTCCTGTAATGAGAGGGAGGGCTGATTCAGAGGGGTCATTCTGATCCGGAGACAGGCAGGCGGCTTCTGGGATTGAGGCTCTGAGCCCCCACTGCCCCGAGGAGCACAGGGGCAGTCACCCCAGCTCTCCAGACATGCGGATCAGCTTCTCCCACTGGGAACTGGGGGACCAACAGGAGCCCTACCTCTACCAGGAAGGCCAGCACCGCAATCTTGTCTTTAGGGTTCTCTTCTTTGAGGCTCATCTCCTTCTCATGGACGATGTGCATCTGGTAGAGGGGGAGGGATGGGAGAAGAGGGATGGGAGAGGAGCGAGGGGGCTGGACCACCCTTCTGGCCCACCTGAGGCGAGCACACACCCCTGGAGCGGGACCCTCACCTCCATGGCAAAGTGTTGCCCATCGAGGCTGTGCTCCGAGCCCTTGTCCACCTTCTCGGACCAGTGCAGGTGCAGCTGCGTGGCCCGATAATGCGTGGCCAGGCCTCCTCCATTAATCTCGACACCAGACTCCAGCGACACCATCACTGGGGCACGGAGGAGGGGCAGAGCTTGCTCTCCCGCCGGCCTCCCCTGGGCCGCTCCGAGCTGCCCGCCCCAGCTTTACCCACACAGGGCCTTCTCTCCCAACTCCACCCTCCATGGGCTTGGGGCCTGGGGGATGGGACAGGGCGGTGCAGCCCCAGACCTTTCCCTGTCACCTCACTGGCCTCCCGCCTGCCTCCACCTCTCCTGTACACCCTCTGCTGGCCCCAAGTGCAACTCTTCCCTGGTTCCCCCTCCGCTGTGACCTCCTTGGGGAGCTCTGGGTGCTCAGGTTAATGTCCAAGCTCCTCAGGCCTGGCGGACCTGCCCAGGGCCTTGCATCACTGTCTGTCCTCCCTCCACTGCTACTCATACTCTAGTTCCCCAACCTAAGCTGTTTCACGCCTCTGTGCCCTTTTTCTGGAACCCTCCCCTCCCCACCCCAATCTGATCTGAGGAAATGACTGAAGATGCAGCTAGAACATCTCTCCGCCACCCCGCCGCCTCCTCCTCCTCCGGGAAGTCCTCTGCGCCTGCCCTACCCTTCCCCAATGGCGTTCTCAAGCCCTTCTTCAGCAAAGTGGGGCTGAGCCTGGCCCTCCCTGCCTGTTGGAGCCCTGCCCTCCCTGTCCTTAGCCCTTTGGGGTCTCTGGACCAGAAGCCAGTGCACCTGACACCCACCTGAGTGCCCGTTGTTTTGGACGGTCCGCCTTTGCTTCTTGTCATAGCCAGAGAAGGAGAAGTCCCCCAGGCTGTGGTCCAGCCTGGTCTTGTTGGTGATGATGTCAATGGGTGACTGGTGACTCTTCTGGCAGTCTCCACCCCAATGGTCAGGCCCTGAGCAGGGAGAGAGCCAGGCTTCGGGTCAGGGGCACAGCCAGCCCGAGGCCAGGCCCACATACTCTGGGGTGGCAGGGGCCAGAGAGGCTCTGTTTCCTGGCCTTCCTCCTCCTCCACGGACACACAGCCAAGTGGAGAGCTTGGCTGTGGTATGGTATGGGGAACGGGGTGGTCTGCCGGAGGCTGGGACCGCTGGGGCAGGGATGGGCACGCCATGTGGGGGACTTCCACGGTAACCTGCTGCCCAGGAGCTGAGGAGGGGGAGGGAGGCAGCGAGCCCCAGAGGAGCCTGGCTTCCCACACCTGGCACTCCAAGCTGGGCAGGGCCAGGGCTGGACCGGAAGAAAGCAGACTGCAGGGAAATTGGTCATCGGAGTAAAAAGTGCCAAGAGCCATCTCCCGGGTTCCCCTGAAAAGCCGTCACTGGAATAGAACCAACTCTCCATTGCACTGGGGGAAACGGCAACATGTGTTTCTCTCTTTAATGCTGCTGCTAATTGATTTCCCAGGAACTTCCCCCTCTCCGTGACAGGAGGGGTCAGTGAAGACTCGGCCTGTGTCGCATGTTCCCCAAGCACCAGGAGAGAGAGAAGGACTAGAGACTGATGTGGGGGGAGTGTCACCTGCATCCTCCCCACCCTCCCTGGGTCTCCATTCCACCCGAATGGCCCCACTCTGCAGAAGGGCCTGTCCCCAAGGCTGGTACAACTCACCCTGGCAGCTGTATTGAGGGTTCATGGCTTGAATGTCATAGCACCAGTGTGACTCTGGAGCAGAGAGAAGAAGGGAATATGAGGCCGAGGAATGCGAATTGTGCACACAGGACTCTGAGTGGGAAGGAGACCTCAGAAAGCATAGGAAGCCAGCAATGGTGGTGCACACATCTAATACCCGCACTTGGGAGCCTGAAGCGGACGATCAATCGCCAAGCGTTCAGGGCCAGCCTGAACTACATAGGGAGACCCTGTCTCAGAAAACAAAAAACAAAAAAACAAGCATAGGAATGTTCCCAACCCCCAGGGACTGCTCTAGGGCATTGTTCTTCAGGGGGTCCCTCTGTGGCCCTTCAGCCCCATCCCTGGGGCTGCCCTGAACATTCCCCATGCCCTGATCATCAGCCTTGCCCGCCCTCTTTTATGCCTGCCTGGACACCCCTGTCTCCTTACACTGTTAAGACCACTCTGTGTGTGGACAGTAGAGCCCACACCTCTAAAATAAGGCTGCACCACAAGAAGACCACACCAATGCAAGCTGTGACATTGGGCACAGGAAGGGAAACTGTACAGGGCAGGGGCAGAGGCAGAGGGAGCATGTAGGAAGCCTCTATGCTTTGTGCTCAAGTTTTCCTGTAAATTGAAAACTTCTCTAAACAACTGCAAACACTTAGGCCAGTCGGAAGAACAAAGTATTTTATCCAGAGCTAGAATTCTGGCTGAGCCACTCAGGAGCTATGGGTTTAGGGACAAGGCTCTTCATCTCTCTGAGCCTCGGTTTTATCATCTGTAAAATGGGATTAACATGCCCACGATATGGGACTGTGGGATGGATTAACTGAGTAATGGCATGGAGTGTTCCAGGCAGCCTTCTTCTTAGTAAAGTCACACGCACACGTCCTTCCCTTCCCTTCCCTCTCCCTCCCTCCCTCCCTCCCTCTGATGGCCTCCTGTCACTGAGCAGATGCCCAAAGACAAGGAGGGGCAGGAGAAGAGACATGGAATGAGTTGGAAAGAACTCGGGGATGAGTCAATTCTAAGAAAACCAGACTCCCAGATCAGCCACGGAAGCCTCTGAAAACAGGCCCCTCCCGCCTCGCTTCGTGTCAGTCCTGTTGGTCCCTGGGATGGCAACAGGGCAGGGCGAGGGGGTCAGGCCCTAGGCAGTGGGATGGGGAGAAGGTTCTAGGCCAAGAGAGTGAGCACCCAAGGGAAACCGGCCCTCATTTCTTGTCTCCAAGAATCACTTTGGGCTTTTAAGTTTTCCAGTGCCTTTGGTAGAGATGCAGCATCTTCCTCTAAGTGGTGCAGCCCCTAGGAGCTGCTGTCCCTGGGGAGCCCCCATGTGGGTCCGCTCTGCAAAGGCAGTGTTCAGTGCCCAGGCAGGCCTGTCCCTCAGGCGGGCAGAGTGCTGAAGCTTCAGTCTCTTCCCTGCCTTCCAGCTTTCTTCAGCCTCTTGCTTAATCTCTGCAACAGAGGTCGTTTGCTTTTCTGAGCTCTGGGGACAGAACGTGCCAGCACTCTCAGGGCTCCCGTGGGGCCAGATGGAGGACTGGTGTTCGAGTGCACCAAGAGGCTCCTTGTTACAATCCCCGTGTGTTCAGAGGCAGAAGGGGCCTCAGTGCACGTGGGTGAGCCTGTCTCTCCTCAGCAGTGGAGCCCCGGAAGAGGGAGAAGCTATTCCAGGCTCTTCCTGCTCAAGCCAGGTCCTGGGAGCCAGCTGCCAAGGGCGGAGCCCCTCGAAATTCCCAGGGGCCCATCTGCTCCAGGCCCAGGCGGAGCTTTGCCTAGGAATGTGCTCTTCCCTGGCTTGGTCCAGCTCCTCCTGGGTTAGCTGTGGTGACCTCTGATCCACTGTCTTAATCACAGAGACTTTTGACCCGTTTGGCTGACGGGTGTTGTAACTACCCTCTTCAGGAGGCTGGAGCCAGGAAACACTGGTGAGGAGCCCAAAACCAGCACTCAGAGCCATGTCCCTGGAGAGAGGGTGAGGTGCAGTCAAGAGGTGGCAGGGGTTCAGGGGGAGGACCGTCCGCTCAAGCTCACGTACTTATTCACGAAAACCTGCAGCCCACTGTCTCAGGCCACCTCCAAGAAGGCCTGGGAAGGAGAGGGGCTACTCACAAGGTAGGTCCCTTGCCCCCCCAAACCATCCCCAGTCACCCAGCCATTGTTCCCACCTTTAACTGACCTGCCACCCCATCCCCCTTCTTCAGAGGGACTGAAGAAGCTCCCTGTCATGGACCTTGCTCTGAGAGAGGGGGCTATCCTGCACTCCAGCTCAGCAAAACCTGTGTGTGTCCTGGGCAAAGTCCCAGCGCCTCCCGGCAGTGTCCTCTCCTGTCCCCTCTCTCAGTAGGAGCAGGTGCTCCAGGGATTTCCATCTGCAACAGGTCACTCTCTAGCCTTAAGGGGCCTGGGAAGTGAATGGATGGAGGAAAACAGGTCTTAGTCGTTAAAAGGGGCAGCAGAGTTTGTGAGAGTCAGTGGTAACAGATCCAGCTGGCCCCCGGCCATGGGTAGGGCCCATAACCACCATGCAGGAGCATCTGCCACAAGCCAGCCACACACAGGAGCGTGCACACACACACACACACACACACACCCTTTATGTGATTGGAATTTTTAGAACACTTGGTGTGACAATTACTATCCCTGTACTGTGGGACGACAGTTTAAGTGACTTACCCATACCATACAACTGCAACGCACTTGAGTTAATTATAATTCTTTCTATTAAATCCAAGCTGCTTAGTAGGTTTCAAATGTCCAAGGGACAAGTATTTTAACAGTCTGTCTTTTCTGCTGTCCTTCTCCCCTGGGAATGGGAGGTAGGAGTTCCTGCAAAATATTCTCTATCCCCCACATGGCTAGTTAAGTCCCTCATGCGAAGCAGCTCACACTCCCTCCCCTCTCTGCCGCTGAGGGGACCCTGGCCCCGGGTCCCTCACTCCACTCCAAGGGTGGAGCCCCTGACTTCGGAGGGGAGGTTTAGCCCAGGGTGGACCCCAAGAACCATTCCGAGGGTAGATGGGCCAAGTCTTCAGTGAGGGGCTGTAGGGTCACCGAGAACTTGCCAGCCCTGGAAGCGCCTTGAGTTCCTTATCAAATATTAACACATCTCTTCTGCCACCTCCCACCTGGACGAATAATTAAGAGCTTGGTCTCACCATTAATCTTTAAACGAAAATCACCCTGTCCGGAAAGACCAGCTGGGCCCGGACCTCGGATCTCCGAGTGCCCCTGGCAGGCTCCCAATCCAGCGCTGGAGGCCCAGGAGCAGAGGGAGCCTGCAGCCTTTGGGGGCACAGAATCGAGGGTGGCAATCGGGGACTGCCAGGACCCCAACACACTCAGCACGTAGTCCTTCCTCTGCGGGGAGGGCGCCACTCAGCACTGCCCGCGGCCACACCGGCCGGGACAGACCAAGGGGGACCGGGGTGAGAAAAGGCGGTGGCCCAGGAAGCATCCTTTTCTGACTCGCCGGTCTCGCCGTGGGACTCCGGGGAGCGCACACCCGTGCACCCCCCGCGTACCCCGCGGACGCGTGTGCGCGCCCCCCCTACCCGCGCACCGCAGAGGCCGCCCGCGCCCGCAGGTGGGCAGGGACCCCCGAGGGGCACCTGGGGGACTCTCACCTGCGTCAGCCCGGGACGAGGCCAGGGCGAGGGCGAGGGCAGCAAGCAGCAACCTCATGGTGCGCGACAGCGAAGACAGCGCAAGGCCGGGGAGACCGCCGAAGGGGGTGTGTCGCGATCCTCCCCGCGGGGTTTTATAGCGGAGCCCCGAAGCGGGGCGCTGGAGGCGGCTCCTCCCCTTGGCGGAGCCTCCCTGCCCAGCCTCTTCCAGCCCGGGTCTGAATCCTCCGCTCCCACCCGCATCCTCCCCGCGCCGCGCCGTGGCTTCTCGCCCCTCCCCATCCCTCCTTTGGTGCCCGATCTGGGAGGAGGGTAGCGACAGCACGAGGAGGCACCAGACCCACGGGGCGAGCGCCCCGGACTCCCCACTCCACCACCTTGGCGCCCACGCCGCGCGGGGTCTGGCGCGGGTCGGGGCGGGCGGGATGGGCTCAGAGGGTCGGGGCGGGGCGGGCGTCGAAGGTGCCGTGGGTTGAACGGGTGGCCCGGGAAGGGCGGCTTTCTCGTCTCACGCAGTGGTCGCTGCTTCTCAGCGACTCATCGTTTTCCTCCCAGACTGCTCCCACCTGAATTTCTCAGTCGGCCAAAGACCCTTCTTCCAGCCCAGTCCAGGCATCCCGAAGCTGCCCTCGCAGGTGTTTCTGCGCGGACCCGGGGGGGGGGGGGGGCGGCGGCAGAATGGAGCAGGAATTTCGGAACGACTCAGTGAGAGAGAAACAAAACCCTGGTGTCAGAGGGGAGGGGCTGGAGCTTACTGAGGTTCCCTTAGATAAGACAGGGAGGGATCAGGGTCTAACTGGACTCTAATTCTCCCATTTGCCTGAGTCTGGAAGAATCCAGAGGAAAAGGAAAGTTTCCCTCCCCTGGCAGGTTGGCCACGGTCCCTTGCAGCCCTTGTGGGGTGGGGGCTTCCATGGAAGTTTAGACTGGGGTGGAGGAGAGGGACAGAGAACCGAGCAGGGGACCTGGACCCCGTCCATCAACAGGAAGCCCCGTTTTTCTGGTCCAGCCACTTCCCCATCCGTTGCCAGTCTCACAGCCCCTACAGCCCTTTGAACTGGGCTAGGAACCTCTAAGGGGGACCGACCCCCCCCCCCCCACCAACAATCCCGGCAAAGGGCTTCTTCCTTGGGTAGGTAAGTGGCGGACTCCCCCCTTCTGGCCCAGGATCACACAGACTCACGGAGCAGCTTTGATCCTACAAAGAGGCAGCTGGGAGAGCAGGGGATGTCCACACCAGGCGTAGGTCCCTAGTGTCTACACTGCTGTGGAATTTTCAGGGACCGTGACAGTCAGGGGAAGGATTCCACTCCCTTTTCCTTTTGTGGGGGGAAGTGGATTTGCCTTCGTAGAGCTGAAAAAAAGTCTCTTTCAAGACTGGAGGATAGAGTAGGGAGAACACCTCGCCTTCGGAGTTAACTACTTCGGGAGATCCCTGTGAACCCAGGCCAGCCCCCTGACCAAGAGGGGGGAATTCACTGCAGTTAAGGGCTCCAGCGGAGTTGGGGACTGTTGATGAGTGACTCTGGACCCACTTCGAAGACTGTTGCACTGTGGTCCCTGGAGAAGAGGAATGTGAGGGGGTCCTGGGTGTGCTCTGAGGGCGGGCCATGCAGGTCCCCCTCTGAGGACCGGGGATAACACCGCAGGGCCCAACACGGCGCTGTGGTGGTCAGGAGGCATTTCTGTCGGCCATCTCTGACCCAGAGTTACACAAGCGGGAGGCTTCCCGCTCCTGTTCAACCTTCTCAGCCTTATCTCCAGCCTGGTTCCAGTCCTGGCCTGCCATAAACCAGTTACCTGTCACATTGTCTAGGACACCTGGGGCCAGCTTCCCCGAGGAGGGCAAAGCCTGATTCAGGGTCACCAGAGCAGAGATGTGTGGTGAGATGCCCTGGGATTTATGGGCCCATAAAGCCACCAGCCCGGGCACCCTGAGTAGGAAAGCCCTACTAAAAATCCCAGCCCTGCCCCAAATCCTACCCCTACAGTAGGTGCCTTCCATTTATTCAGCCTAGGGTGCCCTGTGTCCCGAACTTTGCATCCTAAGTTTAAATTTTTGTCCTTCCTCTGATTCATGGAAGACCTTGGGCAACTTTCGTACTCCTAAGATTGTAACTTCCTCATCTATAAAGTGGGGATAATTCATGCCCTGCCAACCTGTGCCAATAAACAGTTACTGGGAACCTGCTGTGATGAATCACAGCCCTTGACTTCACAGAACTGGCCCTCACATGGCCTTGAACAAAACAGAAGGCCGGGCTGAGGACACTGAAGGGCTTTGGAGCCAGATGACCCTTTTGGGTCTACCTCCTTGCTCTGCGACGTCAGCCAAGTGTGTTTCCCGTATCAGTAAAATGGAAATTGTATCTATAGTCATCTTTCTCAGGTAGATGTGAGGACTCAGTGAGCTAAAGCCTGATGAGGACAGCTGGCCCAGGCTTGGCCCATTGGCACCTGTGACCATGAATACTCTTCCTCCCTCCTGTTTTCCTCCTTCTTTTTTTTTTTTTGACATGACTTTAAGGAAGAGGTCCAGGTGAAAGGGAACACTAGCCTAGACCAAGGGAGAAGCCCTCATACATCCAGGCTTCTCCTAAACTCTCAAGAGCAAGGAAAGGAACTTTAAATGCATGGACCTGAAAATGTGAGATGCAAACTCATCCCCTCCTGGGACAGTGACAGATATGCGGTACAGGCACAGTGAGCTGAACCCTTGCAGTAGGGGTATTCCTAGTTCAGGAGAAGTCAGATGCAGAGCCCTAAACAGAAACTACCATGCCTCATGTTCAGGGTTGGGGTAGAAGATCAGAAGAGGCTTTGGAGCCAGACTGCAGCGAGTCCCATCTCAGCCTCAATGCTCACCCTTCTCCCTCAGGTTCAGTGTCCTGATCGGGAAAATAGATAACGACAGCGCCTCTCCCACTTGGGCACGGGCTAGAATCCAACTAGATGATGCTGGGTAAAAGGCCCAGAAGAGATCCAAGCATTTTAGTAAGTGCTTAACAAACTTCAGCTGTAATTAATAGCTGTTAAGTGGAACAAATGGTGTTATGCCCAGAATATGCCAGGGGCAAGAGAAACAGCACCTAAACTAGCCAGCTTGGGAGACCATGGCGGCGGGGGCGGGGGGGGGTGATATTCTGGAGGCGATGGGACCTGAGCTGAGTCTTCGAAGTCAAGTAGGACTGGGGTGTAGCTCAGTAGTAAAGCACTTGCCTAGCATGCATGAGGCCCTGGGTTTCACCCCCAGCAATCAAAGTGGGGGAAAAAAAAGACAAGTATATATTAACTGGAAAAAAGTAGAGAAAACAGAAGGAGAAAAGCCATGGAGGTGGTGGGCAATGATCATTAGAGATAAGGCTGGAGAGCTATTTGGGGCCCAACAGGTAGGATTTGTTCATTGGAGATTATGGTAGAAGTTTGTTTTGTGGGGTTTTTTTTTTTCTTTTTTTTTGGTACAGGGGATTGAAGTCAGGACCTTGCGCTTTCAAGGCAGGTGGCAGAACCACTGAGCTAAATCCCCAGCCCTGCGTTGTTGTTGTTGTTTTTTTAGAAGTTTGGACTCATCTTTCCTGGTTTTCTAGATCAAAAATATCCTCAGAGAGTGTTGCTTAAAAAAACCCCCAAACGGACAGCAATCCTTAGTCACTTGAGTTACTGAAGAAGGAGCTGAGACTCAAAAGGGTAATGACTTGCCCAAAATGCCCAGCAAAGAGCGAAGAGGTGGGATTTAAACCTCAGACTCCTGCTAGAGCTAGAGCCCGCTCCCCCTGCTGCTTCCTTACTGTCTCTCCTCCTCTGGGTACACACACTGCTTCCCTCCCACTGGGACCCCAGCCTCCGCCCTTCCTTGTTTTCTGCACCCTCAGTCTTTGCTGATTAGCAGAGGAGTCAGGGAAAGGTTTACAGAGATTTCAGCTTTTGTGTCCCTGGATGTTGAGATTAAGTCCACACACAAAGCAAGGTTTAATTAATAGCCTGGCCTCTCAGGCTCCCCAGCCTGGATCCCTGCCATATTCCAGCAAAGACAAGAAAGCTCCTTTCTGTCAGCTACTGCAGAGGCTGCAGGGCTCTTCCCACCTCTTTTCATGGACCCCACTCCCTTGGCTGTGGGGAGAATCTTGGGGAGAGAGAGAAGGGGCAGGCAAAACAGCTGGAGGCTCACTGGAGCAGGCCAGGGGCTGCCTTGGTGGGAGATGGGGCAGATATTTCAGCCTCCAAACATTTTGAAATGACAATGGTGGTAAAATGTGTGGAAAAATCCATCCATGGGGATGACATATGCTCTGTTCCTGTCCTAGAGAAAATTCAGGAATACTCCCCAAGTGGTTGTTGCCTCCTATCTCAGTTTAGCCAAGGGATCTGCACTTCTTTGGATTTGTAAATGTATTCATTTACATTCTGGTTTTGTGGTGGAGGGATTCCTAAAGAGGGAAGTGAGAGGTGTCAGGTGGGAGAGAAAGAGGAAAAGCCACACAGCATCCTGGGTGGGCACAAGGGGAATATGAACTT